GGAATTTTGATAACAGTTTTCTAGTAACTTTCTTAGGGACTTGGATCTCTTTATACAGTCTTCATGATGGTCGTTTAGCTTCAAGGCGCTTCTATCCTATGGTCCGATTCGCAAACACAATGTCTCCAGCCAGTGATGGGCGAAACCCTAAGTTTCGAATAAATTAGAAGTTTGCTAATCTGTTTGTCTCGTTTTCTCTTTCGAATGTTCTCCAAAAAAAGAAACAAAACAAACACATCTATTCCTCAAACTTCATATCCATTCGAAACCTAAGGTTTTGCCCATCTGTATCTCCAGCAGATTCATCCCTAACTCCTCAACAACTCCCACCTGAATGCCACCGAAGCCCAACAAGAAGCCCAGAAAAATGTCCGAGCTCGAACCTTCCCGGCAACCGAGACCCCGAGCCGTTTTCCTGGAGAATATTCGCCAGCATCCTCGCCATTATCATACCTAATCGAGTGGCCTGGTCCGTTCGATTGACGGTAATCTTGAGGATCGACGATGCCGACGCGATTACCACATCGTCCACGGGTGAGACAGGGGACGGGGTCGATGGACCGTTTAATCGCAGGCCAGGGCCGCGAAGGAAAATGGCCGAGGTGGTAATCGTTAGCTCCGGAAGCTGACCGATCAGGCCAGATAGGACGCCGGGCTGTAACGCCCCGGCCATCGCGGACGTGCCCGACGAAGCGACGTCGTTGCCTCGAATAATCTCGAAGCGAACGGATATCTAAACGAGGACCTTGAAGCCAGCCTCCGGGCGATGTACGCGTACATATGTACGCTCGAGCGGACGTATGGAAGTCGAGTGCTCGCCGAGTGATATATATCGGCCGCGATATATCGCTCTCGATGGTACCGCTCCGATCTTCGGCCAGAGAGAGAAGATAGCACGCGGGATGCGGGGAGACCCTGAGGAGCGTTCCACGCACTCGTTGCAAACAACACGCCACCACGCCCTCGTGAAACAATGTGATGGTTAACCTAACAAGCTCTCATCCGTGCTTCACGTTCCTCGGTACCCTACCGTGGTGCACGGTTGCAGGCTCGTTTCGCTTCGGCGTCCTGGTCGCGTTCGCCACGGAGAGACGCCTAGGGCAACACTTCCAGGACACCGCCGTATACCGATATTCTACGGCGATAACGATGTTGCGACATACGCGAGTTAAGTCGTGGGATCGCCGGGGTTATGGTCGTATTAACCGGGCGACTGTTAGTGCCTCTGGTGACGAGGGCCCTGGCCGGCCTGTCCAGCGTCGCTCGTTTTGTTAAGGAGTAATTGAAGGGCTGCTTTTTGCACTCTGAACGAGTTTCGCGCGGCGATATTCCGAGAACCGATGTTTGAATATCGTCGGGAACTGGGAGAGTCGGAGGAGTTACTCTTGGAGGGATCGTTGGGATTTCTGTTACGATTATCGTGAGGCTTCCATGAATGTTACAGATACAGAGTTTGGACGATCAGAATTTACCGACACCAGGTTTGACTAGGTTTGTAATACACCGATTTGCGCTGACAGTTGCATACGTACACCCTAAGTCCGGAAAATAACCAGAATGGCTTTAAAAGTAACAGAACTAGTTAGAATAATGGTCTCCCTCAGCCGAAATACAACGATTTGCACGTTCAATTGCATACATACACCCTCTGTCCCCAAAATAACCGCAATGGCTTTAAAAATAGTAGAACTAGACGAATATTGTCCCTTAGCTCAAATACAACGATTTGCACGTTCAAAAAATGCATCAAATGACTCTCTTATGACCTTGATTGGAATGATGTCGATACTGGTCGTTATTTTTCGATAAATATCTTCAATTGATGCAAAGCGGTGACGACAAATGCATCTTTGGAATAAAAAATAATCGCGGGGAGCCAAATCGGGTGAATGTACGGGATGTTGAATTAAAAGAATTTATTTTTTGGTGTTACACCATGACAATGCATCTTCTTATGGATCATCGATCATCACCAAATTTTTGACCAAGAAACAAATGTATCCTTTGCAATACCGTGTTTGTTCTTTGAATGCAAAAAACGCTACACACCTATGTTTGACATCGTTATCACCGTTGAATCACCTCTTGCTCGAAAAGTGCGCCATTAATCCGAAGGTGAGATAAACGCTCGAAATAGGAACTGAAGTTTACATTGGGTGAATTATAGTCTCAATTATATAACCTGCTGTTTCTATTATTTCGATATTATTGAAACTAAATTGACTAAACTAAATTAACCCCTTAACCTACACAGAATCACTCTTGAAACTAAAATTCATGTATTCGCATACTCGAAGATTAACTTACATTTAATTAACAGTGCTTTTCACTGAAGAACAAACAAAATTAATTCCGAATGTTAAGTAAGTTATAAAAATAAATAATACAAGAATGTTTGAATATGTAGTTTCCAATAGTCTGGAAGCAAAACATAATTACGGTAAAAATTACCAAGAAATTTCCGACTCGAGATGTATCTTAGCATTCTATTGCCATGAATTCTAAGCTATCTAGATTTGAGAATATGGTCACCGATAATCATTTTATTGGCACTTCGAGCTCCAAAGAAATTATCGGCGACAGAGAGTCACCTCTCGAGCGCAAAGGGTTAAAACGTTTTCAATTAACGGTTTGCTCTCATAAATCGTATCGTTGAAATTGCACTCCAAAATCCTGACCAATTCTTGCTGAATAATAACTAATTATCAAATAATCCACAGACACAATTTCAATTATCTTCGGTACAATACACGAGGAAATCATCATACTGTAACTTTAAAGTATCAAAATTGAATATTTTCGCACCGAAGAAGACCGGAGCCAAAGCAAACAACGCTCCTCGCTCGCAATTTCAAAGGCAGACCAGTATTCGATCATTCTCCAACGTATAAAGGCAGTTGAATTCCCCAGTCATCGCGTTCGAAGTTACAACCAGTTGTTCTGAAACTGCAGCCGCATCCCCTCTTTGGGGAAACAAGGCATTCTTGTCTGGTTTTATCGATACACTGTCCACCTAGACGAAACGTAACTCCACTTAGCTAGAGACGTAAAGAAAGACGTAGTTAGACAGCACACGACGTTCCTGGACGACGAGTCAGGGGACAATCTGCCATCGGGCTGTAGCCGGGATAGGTGGAAACGCCTGGAATTCAATACTCTTCTGTGCCTTCGGTGAATCCAAATATGGGACTCGGCAACGATCTTTGTTGGAAGCTACGGACGCCGATGGAAACACGAAAGTGCCGCATATGTCTTTTGTCTGAACGCCAATAAAAGCTAAACGAATGAATCACTTTCCCCGTTCGGTAGAATTCTTTCCATGTATCCTGTCTTTTGGATGCTTTCGCATTTTAGGAAGTTCGCGGGACAGGTTAAGTTTGGTTGAAAATAGTATTTCCTTTCTTGGTTTACTATTAATTCTAGTTCTGACAGATCTAAATTTGTATTCAGAAATGTGCACAGGTGACAAATTGTAGTGGTTTGATTCTAATCCTGACAGGCCTAAATTTTTATTTAAAAATGTGCACAGGTGATAAATTGTAGTGGTTTAATTCTAGTCTTGACAGGCTTAAATTTTTATTCAGAACTTTGTGCACGTAATTTTTGTTTAATGTCAGCTTCGAAAAGATTGCTAACAAATTTATTGGAAATGATGCATTGAAGTCATTGTAGACAAGCTTAGGAGAAATGTGATAAGGAACTCCTGTAGTTAATATAATTCAGGATTTGTATCAAAAGATACTATTTAATTAGTTCCGATCTGTAAAATACGAAAATACACATGAGCTATTATAGTATTCTTTTCTTAGTAGTCTTTTTATATAGATACAAATTATCATAAGTTGTTGGCGAAGAATATAAACGATTTCTTCAAAACCTTTTGAAAGAGGCTAAATAACATTCTCAGCATGAATGCCGATTCAATGGAGTTAAATAAGATGATCCTGTTCGTTGAATAGGTAAAAGATCGCCAATTGCGTAAATCGTACCATTCATCGTACTTCGATACGTCAGATTTCTGCATTGGACGACACCTCAAGCAGGCTATTCGATAGAAACCAGTCGATAATCCATTAGATCTTCGTGACCGTATCGCAGCTAATTGTCACAAGCTTCGAAATACGTCAAGAATGTTCGAACACTTCCTACGACCAATAAAACACATCGATGCTTGCCACTGTTTGCGAGGATTCCACTTCAACTAGTTCTTTCGATACGCAACTTCAACTGGAACTCGGATGAGAAGCATCTTCAGGTCTATTTTTAAGCGACTTCATCGACAGACTTGATTCTACTTGTAATGTTTATTAATAATCCACGTGCTAGTATCGTTTGGGTTGTAAACACGAAACGTCGAGTATTTAACACGTAACGAGTTATGTAATAAGAACATATACACGTTTCTCAGTTCGTGTTGAAATCGATTAATTGTCCAACTTTGACTGATTTAGTAATCTGTTTCACAAAAATGGTAATCGAGAAACCATTAGGAAAGGAATTAATGAAAGTTAAAACTCCGATATAAACTGTATGAATGGAAAAAGAGTACAACGCTGTATTGATATTAAATAATTTCGGGCCTGAGATCATGATGCTTTATATATTTATATATTTATATATTTATTTATGACGACGCGAACTAGTAAATTTATGAATTATTTTTGGAATAGAATAAACGAGATATGTGTGTTTTAGCTGACATGCATTGGTTCGTTCTTTCTTTTTATAAATATATTTATTTTGAAGTGTTTTTCTAGTTAATAATGAATAGACTGCGGATTTTTATGCAAAATAAAATTTTTGAAAATGTACCTAGAAACATTGAACCTAAACAGGAATTTATTTTATTCTGCAAATATTATAACGTGAACTTTACTTTCAATGTTTTTTACATTCTTGCATATTGCTTGCATTTTATAGTTTCTTGCACGTTCAAATCGCCTATAAATGCATAAAGATTTGCAGTCTAATGATGGAGAATTATATGTGTCATCCGAGTAATGAACACGTGATATTAATAGTAGTCCTAAACACTGGGTAAATGTTTACTTTCCTTCCAATTTAGCATAGATCTCAGTGTTTACTTCACATATTAAAAATTGCATAGTCGTCTACGAATCAAACAACAAAATACCTTCGTACGCGTTTATAATCATGTTCGTAATAAATCACGACAAATAGTCAATCATTTGACTATCAAACATGTTAATATCAACAGTAGCCCTAAACACTGGATAAATGTTTACTTTCCTTCCAATTTACCATAGATCTCAGTGTTCTCATCACAAATCTCAAAATCGCTACAACAATCTTCAACAATCAAACAACAAAATACCTTCCTACACGTTTACAATCATGTTTCTAATAAATCACGATAAATATTCAATCATTTGGCTACGAAACACATTAATATCAATAATCGCTATTTCTTAAACATTTTTCCTTTCACTAGATCCTTCCCATAGGTCCCCGCATCCTCTTTGACCTATCTCAAAATCGTACTCGACTAAGGATTCAATCAACAAAAGACCTCCATACGACCGCCACCTGATAACTCCTCGCCTATTCCATCAACCGTCCAACCTCTAAACGAAACAAAACGAAAGAAAATCCCATAGAAAACTATCCATACACATACTAAAATCTGAACCGCACGTCCTCCCGGTGCATCACTCGAGTAACCTTCCTCTCCCCCCGCAAAGGCAACATACTCCAGTTCCCGTCGCGGATGGGTCCGTCGAGGTCCGCCTTCCACGTCGGGCCCCGAAAGAAAATATTATCTTTGCGGCCCGTTGCGAAGAAATCACCCACAAAGAACTCCGCGGCGACAGGTTACTCTGACACCGTCCGCTCGGTTCGAGGTCCTCTTCGGTGTATCCTACTCCTTGGTCCTGGATCGGATCCAGTGGATCCTACCACCGCGCCGCGGCGACCACCACCTCCACGACCCGGTCCGTCCACCACCACCACCAGGGGGACCTTTGTCCACCACCACTCGGGTTCGGCTACCACCTCCTCGTGCGGAACCAGCGCGGGGCACCTCGCCATGTGACTGATTCCCCTACTCCGCAGGTTGACGAGCGGTAGGCCTGCCTACCTGCCGCCCGTTGCCCCGCTCCCATTACGACGCGGACTCTCGCGGCAGGTGCACCAACCTAAGTGCCACTCCGCTTACCTGTGTGTCGTGCCTACCGTAGCCAAGTGTGTCCGGTGGTCAGGTTCTTCCCTCTCTCTCTTTCTTTCTTTCTTCTGCTGTCTCTCTCACTTTTCCCTTCTTTTTTCCTCCTCCTCCTCCCTCTCCACCTCCCCCCTTTTCTCTGTCTCGTCTTCTCAACCCCCTACCCCGGGCTACGTCCTTCTCCCTCTGTCTACGTCTGTCCCCCTCGACGACGCCTCACGCAGCAGTGCCGTGTTGTAGTGTCGTGTCATCTTGCGCTACGTCAACGATCCTCCCGAGTCCGTTGCGGAGGCAACGATCGATCGCGTTATCCTCAACCGATTCCGTTTACGGCCCCCATCGCCTGGTGACCCGGTCTCTGCGGACGTCTACGGGCCCCGAACCGTCGTTTCGCTCTCGATAAACAGACGTTTCCTAACAAGTTAGGTCTAGAACGTGTAAACAATCCACTCGGTCACACGGGCCCTTCCAGGTATCGGCCCTGACAGTGTTTACAGTTTGTCCAGGCGTCGATCGTCGATCGTTCGCAGCCGAGGGATCGTTTCGCGAGTGTCAGTGATATCGACGATAGTTAGTGCACAGTTCGGCCCCGGAGAAGGAAAACTGGTTCCCTCTCGGACCCGGGGGCCGCGGGAGGAAGGGGACAGTGAAGGTGTCAAACGTCCGCGACTCCTCATTGACATTTCCGTGACATTTAGTGCGCGATTCGAGCCGAGCGCGAAACACCTTTTCGTGTAACACGCGTGAGAGATCGTCCGTGCCCCGGAGAAAGTGACGAGGGGTCTGGGAACCGAGTCGATGACGGTTCCGCCGTGTCTTATCACCGCCGCAGACGGCTTATCTACGGTTATCTGTCTCTCGGAATCATCTGTCTCTCACTCATGCACGTGCACCTAACGCGATAAAAGGGGCTCGGCAACCTCTGCACTCGCGGACGGACGATTGCTGAGCGGATCACGGGACGGGAGGCATGGTCCTCGACGGACGTCCTCTGACGTTCAACAGGTGGTCGTTCGCCAGGTGACGGACGCAGGTACCAGTCGAGCGCGTGGCGCTGGAAGATCGTACGCGAGGAGACCGCGCCAGGCAGACGCCTGCTCGAAGGGAACGTCGATCGGAGGTCGTTTCTCACGACGGAAGTTCGCATCAGAGATCAAACTGGACATACTTACCGCAACGTCGGGACGTACGGAGTGGAGATGTCCGCGGGTCGCTGAGAGAATGAGGGAGCTGGACACCGAGAGCCCTGTTGTCTGGCCGGCCTGGTGTTATACTGGTGAGTTGGCTCGTCAACGAAGGTTGAGGCGTACCTTGATAAGAAGCGTACCTTTGGAAGACGAAGAATGGTGGAGGATAAGAGTTCGAGAAAGTGACGTTTAGGTGCGGTTTGGGAAGAAGCGATTATGTGAGACAAGGTTCGTTGGATCCAGGGATGATATTATTTAGTGTATCGAAATTCTAGGGTGGGATTTCTACCTTTCTATGAGAGACGAAACTAACGCGGTTTGGGAAGATGGGATTATGTGAGACGAGGTTCGTTGGATCCAGGGATGATATTATGTAGTGAATTGGAATTCTAGGGTGGGATCTCTACCTTTCTATGAGCGACGCAAGTAACGCGACGAGAACCTTTTTCTGTGCTACAGAGAAAGCTACCTTTACAAAGTTATTCTTTACGAAGGTACGCCAAGTTTATGAATGTTGAAGTTTTGGCAATGACAAGCCCTGAATTTGTAGAATTTCGCGAAATTACTGCAAGATACGTCAAATTTATTACCCCTGTAGGTGGTGTTGATTTCTTCTTCGTTTTTCAATGCTTACATCGGATTCCAGGAATTTTATCTATTTACACGAAAAACTGGAGCGTTGAAACGATAGAATGCCAACATTTATCGTGGTTATTGAGTGACACATGGGAGATCAAGTTTCAGTAGCATCTCCATTCGTTTATTTCGCTGTGAAGAGAAGATTAGAAATTATTGTCATAAAAATTCCGTAGCTTCTAGGCGTGAACGTTGTAGGAAACACGTGGTAGCAGTTAATGTGCAACGTTTATAAACGTGAAGATAAACTGAACGCAGTCGGAGGCTCCGAACTATTTGAAATAACGTTTGAAATCATAATTCTAATAAGACATTTCATTTCTAATGTGGCACTTCTAAATATGACACTTCTAAACATGACACTTCTAAATATGACACTTCTCGCGCATGCTCGATCATTCCGTCGGACCTACTTTCCACGTACAAGTTGAAATTTGATTCGGAACAAATAAGTAACACGGACAAACAAACTCTGATATGCATATAATCCAGAGGTGTTCTCTTATTTCGACGCGAAGATTGCTCGAAGAATATCTTTGTACGTCAGATTTAGATCGAAGACTCCATCATTTCACATAATACGCGAATTTTTCTGAAACGAACTCGAACTTGCGCGATATCTGTCAACTTGTCGAAAATGTGAATGTTATGAATCAGTTGTCAGAAGGTAATTGATGACTTACTGTAGATTGATACTCGAAAATGGCATGTGACTATCTAGCGTAGTTTTCTTTTCGAAGAACTCGTATAATACAACAGAGTGAAATAATTAATAAATTGAATTGTAGTAAGGGCGATTAACCCAGTCACTGTCAGGCAAATTTAAAGTTAGGTTATCATTTTGATAATAAAAAGTGATATTACATTTGTTATTTTAAAAAGAAAATCTACGATCTTCTTTTGCATTAATTCGTGACTCAAAAATGCTGTAAAGTTATCCTTTGAATAATTTCAATCAATTTGAACTACGAGACATCTTATAGTTGACAGTGAATGGGTTAATTTAGGGAAACTTCTAATGTTTCTGAAGTATCAGCGTTTTGTTAATAACAATTGTATTTCTCACGCACAGTTCTCCATTTTTCAAACTGATTACGTTGAATAAGGTCTTATTTACACGTTCGTTGCCATCCATTCTAATGTTCCATTCAGAACAATGGATTTCTATTGATTGTAATGTTAGTTTGACGCGATAATAGGTAAACCAACCAAGTGACAGTTGCGTTCATTGTAAATTACAGGCCTCGCTTCACTGATTTCCAGGTGTAAGCAACGTTTTCCTCTCATTACGTGACGTTTGCTATTAAACAGTAACGTTTGTGTAAATCGGGAAAGGAAACGAGTCTCGTTTAGATAAAACGAAGCGAAGAATAAACAATAAACCAGTGTCGATCCATTCTTTGTTTGACAAGCAATAAAATCCTAATTTTACAGTCGAATTATGCTTCATGTTGAATGAACGTTCAGCTTATCTTAGTGACTGTTCAACCGAAAATTAAATGAACTAAATTTATTTACAAAATTTTAACACCTGCGACTGATGTTAATATTAAAAACACGTGGTCGAACATTGAAAATACAATTTTTGTTCATATACATACTGCAAGGAATGAATTTGCTTAAAGGAAACAGCCTCATGTAACAAAATTAAAAATAATAAACTGTTAATGTGTGAAACAAACGATCTAATGTTAACAGCAGCCACAGTGTTGCAGTTTGTTAAAAAGATATAGTCACAAAGTTTGTTAGATCTTTACATACCTGATTATTAGAATTTATACTTAATTATTTTCTCTACATGAAAAGAAATATTATCATCACTTTAAAAAAAATTCTCCATGGATTACTTGGTAGAGTTCTTATTCGTCACGTCAATATTCCCAGTGAAATTGTGTTCATTTCTGAGATGAATGCTAAAAGATATGACATCTTGATTTCATACAATGTTCATAATTTCTCTTGCAGACCAATTCTATAAGGTTTCTGTGCGTAGTTAATCTTCTGAACCCCTCCTTAATTTTTATACATTAATTAACGTCATCTTTCTGACACGAACTAATGCCCAAAGATATCACACCTCGATTTAATACAATGTTCATAATTTCTCATGCAGACCAATTCTATAATATTTTCGTGTGCAGTTAATCTTCTGAACCCTCCTTAATTTTTATAAAATAATTAACGTCGTCTTTCTGACACGAACTAATGCCCAAAGATATGACACTTCGATTTCATAAAATTTTCATAATTTCCCTTGCAGACCAATTCTATAATATTTTCCTATGTAATTACTAATTAACCTTCTGAATCTCTCCTTAATTTTAATAAAATAATTAACGTTATCTGGGCCATGTCGCGATCAAAAATTGTGGATCACCGTCAGTGGCACGTGTCGACAGTGGACGAAACAACATATTATCAATCACGATGTAACAGGATGCCGTTCGCGGTGACAACTTGCGCAAAGTTATGAAACACATGTGTACCGAGGTAGGCGTTGTTCTCCGCTGCTGGAATTCGCACTCCGTCGTCTATTCACGGCTGACGTATGGGAAACAAACACGCCGGTCGATAAGAGATCTTGAATTATGTTTTACAATCATTTCGAATTATATAACGCGAGTGGTAGCGGCGTTCGAACGGCGTTTAATCGGTACGAGGTCGTTTTTCGATAGACGAAAATTCGGGACCGTGACCCTATTGATGTCTATGCCACGTCAGAAGATATAGTCGTCACGTAGATTAGTATACTGTTACGTTTATGTTTACGCTGTTGAAATTGCTTGTCAGATTTATCTGGGTACATATGTACGTGTCACGAGAGAATCATCTGACGTTGATAAAAGTAATCGTTTGGTGAACGTAGGAACTAATATGGAGTTTCGGTGGTCGTAATTAGCAGTTTCCGATATTTATTTTCTAAGGTAAGCCTAATGCGTGTGCATTTTTATAATGTTTGCGCGTATTTTTGGGTGTTTTGGGGAATTGGCGAATGTCCCTGGATATTCCAGTTAGTTAAGTTCCATGATAAATACATGACTTGTAACTTAATTTGTGAATTAATCATTTGTGAATTAAGTATTCAGAATAAAGTGTTTGCAGTACTGTTGAATTTGACTTACAAAGCTTTCTATGGTTGTATTGTACAGTTTATCAAAAAATCCTGACAAATAACTGATCGAAAGAGTTATTGATTAAAAGTGTCTCTTACGATTTATTTTTGAGTTTTCGATATTTATGGTGTGATTCACTTTGGGTGTAAAGTGGAGGTAAAAAACCTATAACATGGACATTTCAAAGGTATCCAAAGATTAAGTAGAAAAAGAGATAAAAATCAACAAATATATATATGTGGTAGTAGTAGATAATGTAAAGTTGATTACTCACATTCGAGGAGGTAGTAGACTCACGTTTAGATGTTAAGAGTTAATTCTTTTTTTATCAAATTTTCTAATACCATTGAAAATTCCTATTAACCTTAAAGTACAGGTAATCTTCAGAAAAAGATGTTTCAATCGATACTAAATATACTAATATTTGCTTTCCGCTCAGATAAAATTTGTGACAAACTTGCGTTTTTGGTGTGTCTTGTTACGAATAATCGGCTTCTAGTTTTCCATAAAATACATTTCTTGGATGACTTATGTTCTATAAAATAAAATCTTATAAAATCTTATAATATTATAAAATCTTCATATTACTATGTCTAATTTAAACGTTTTATAATAGAAAGAATACAGTCATTCAAAAAATGTATTTTATGGAAAACTAGAAACCGTTTATTCGTAACAAAACACACCAAAAACGCAAGTTTTACAAAAATTGTATCCGTCACGAGCGGAAAGCGAATATTTGGAAATTTAATTTAATTTGATTATTTAATACACAGCTTTACCAAAAGAGAGAACAGAGAAACATAACATTGTAAACATCTCAATCTTTAAGATTCCTTTTATCATTCGTCTACTCCAAATCAAGTGCACTTTAGTAAAACTGTTAACTTTCTTCTGCGTTCAACTTTTCTCACCAACGCCTCTATCAACCTGTATCTCACCGTCCCTTATCAACCTCCCTACCAGAGTTCTCTCAAAAAGTGGTTGGGTATTTTCGATGGCCCTTCGCCCATAAAAACGATGCTCGGGACTTCGGAATGTCTCGAGCGAGCGGAATGAACGAATGTCGAAGTGTGTAATTACGGTTCTCAATCTTGACAATTAGGAGCGCTTGGAAGCTGTCGGTAGCGAATAGGCGCCCACTTAGAAGCTGCGGTTTCCAGCAGCCTTATCTCGCCGAATCGGGCACGGTTATTCGTCGGGCGCTTCTAATTAAGAGGGTCTTCCGCTGATTTTTTTCTTCTACCGGCGAAATTGCTCTGTCGACTACTGTCTTCGAATAATTCCACGATATTTATTCATCTGGGCGGAACACGGACCTCTTGAACCGGGGATGGGCG